TAAATGGTATAGCAAAACCCCAAAACCCCAAAACCCCAAGAGGAGAGAATTAATATATTTTAGGTAATTTTGATAATGAAAAATTATTCAGCATTTATTTTAATCTTTTCAAACGAATAAAATGCTCTCAAAAAGCAATAAGTAATCAAAGCCAGGCTCCCAATTTAGAACTTCCCGCTCACCCCCTGTTCGCAAAGAATCAGTGAATAAGCCTAAAAAGGCTAAATCACTCGTTGGTAGAAAATAACAAATGACTGAATCACCAAAGAGTAGCCATTCAAAAGAGAATTAGACATTCTCAAACAGTTGAAACATTAAAGTTAAAGATTGCAAATTTGAGAATACAGATGATTCTTATTCTCAGCTTCTTAATGTGGATACATTTTCAAATAATGATTATGGCCTAGGGATAAAGGTTAAAAGCCCTACATAGCAATAAGTAAAGCCTGTTGAAAGAGGATCAAGTAAGAAAGGTCATACTTAGAAAGGAGGCTATCTTGTATGATAAAAAATATTTTACATCTATAGGATTAAATAAAAAAGAAAGCTGAGAGTAGATATGGTAAAGCCTCACAGTATACTCTAAGATATAAAGAAATTTGTTTAAAATAGTAATTTTATTAGGTCATTATTTTCATAGTCTTAAAAATTCAAAGCAAATTTAGCTTTGCATAGACCTTATACAAAGATAAGATGCCAAAGTCATAGCATCAATATTATAGGATTTCCAGACCTTAAACAAGATACAGCTATGGTCGGATATATGTACATTACAACAATTAGAGAGAAGGGATAGATTGGTCAATATACCTGATAGTAGAAAGAATGAAATGGAATAGAGAAAAATATCCTACAATAGTACTGACAATGCTTTCATACTAAAGTAAACATCCTTTTTATGATCATTTATAGATCAATAGGAACGAATGTTAGTGAGTCAGATCAACTTATAACTTTGCATTTATGCGGCTTTAAGTTTAGCAAAGATGCTTTTTCCCAATTTGGCAAAAACCTTGCCACTGCTAAAAACTTGAAAAGGCTGTAATTGAATTAGACAAATGTGGCTTCTTTAGGACTTTAAGATTTAGCAAATGCATTTATTTTATGCACAAGCATTGAGTTCCTTGATTTATAATGCAATGATCTTGATGATTCTCATGCTCAAATAATATCAAAGATAATCATACAACAATTTGAAATGAAAGATGCTTTGAAATGGAAGATGGGATTAAGGAAAAATACCGAAGTGGATATCGGCAAACTTGGCTTGAAGCATTTAAATATCAGCAGAAATCTTATGACATCAAAATCAGCTATTATTTTAAGCTAAGCTCTTAAAAATGATCAGTATATTCGAGCAATATGTTTAAGGAAAAATAAAATTGGTGAAGAGGGAATCAAAGAGTTTATTTCATTATAAAAGCAGAATGCAAAGTTAGTATAAATTGATCTAAGTAATAACCCTGCTTACGAAAAATCAGACTATAAAAAGTAATTAAACCAGTTTATGATGCAAAACATTAAGCAAGCTATTGAAGTATATCATGAAACTAACCATAGATTAAACTACGAATGGTTAAATCCTGAACTATTAAATATTAAAATAGTAATTGACGAAGATAACCCAAAGAAAAGTAGTAAACGAGGTTAGTTTATATAAGTAGCTTCTTAATTGGCTTAGAAATTAAATTTCTCATATGAGCATGTAGCTCAATCATTTTTAGGAGAAAATTTCTAAGGTATATTAGGTAGTACATTAAGTGGAATGATACTCCAGAGGAAAAATGAGAATGTCAGAAGATAGTCGATTAGATAAGTAAATAACATTCAAACAAATCTAAATCTAGGAAATTTAATTGACTAAGACAATACTAATACTCCTGTTAATAGAAATTTGACAATTATTCCTGTCAATCATTCAGATTTTTCTAGGGCAGCAACAGTAAAAAATGCATAAAACAACAAGTTAAAAAAATTTTAAAGCAGTAGTGATATGGAATCGAATAGTAGTTTTTCTAGCTCTCGATCATCATCATCATTATCAAGCAACTATGAAGATAATGTTCAATAAAATCTAATGAAGAAGTTTAGCATACCTGATAGTGATATTAAAAGGTCAATGAAATATAAATCAACTGCAAATACTACAATAAATAACGGTGCATCAATCTAAAATGATTACATGAGAAAATAATAAACAGAAAGCAAAAATAACAAGAAAAATGCAAAAACATTATCTACCCCTTAGTGATAAAATTCTAAAACTAGAAAAAATAAATAAAATTCAATCAATATTAAATCAACATTTGCGAGAAGCAAACAAAATTAGTTAGATTATAGAAAGACAAGTGTTTAAGTAAATAAAACCTCTATTTTTGACAATTCTTTTTAAAAGTAGAGTCTGGAGTTAGCATAGCAAGTGCTACTCTTATAGAGAGAAAATATAAGTCTTAAAAGTGCCTTGAATCGTGGAGCAAGTCAAAGCTACGATCAAAATTAGAATATGAGCATGTATGATTATACTCACAATAACTTGACGAATGTTAATGATAGAGCTGTAAATAATCAGAGTGAACTTTAGATTAATGATTTGCTTAAGAGCATTTAAGGTATGATTAGAAAAATAGAGAGACATAGTCCAGAAGTAAAATTGAAAAATCAAAAATCTAGTAATAATTATAATATCTATAACCAAAGCAAGTTTAAAGATACAGCTAACCTAGATATTATTGATATATCACTGCCTAGCTCTGGAAATAGAAAGCTAAGACTAGAAAAATAATGAATCCCTTAGACCCTCCCTGAATATAAATATTTGATGCTAATTTAATGAAATTCTTAATTTATGATAAAATAATTGAATATTTTTTAGAAATTTGTTATTATAATTACAAATTTTAATGTCATTTACGAAGAAAGAGGTCAAAGAGAGTCTTTTTCTAGCCACAGGTATTTTGATAAGTCTAAAATGATATTCTAGAATCAGGAAATTTAGAAATTGTATAAGCTATAATTGAAGAACATCCAGATTTAATTGATGTTCAATGTATGAGCAGTTGGACTCCAATAATGATGGCATGTAGATATGGGCATTTAGATGTAGTAAAGTATCTCCATGAAAAAGGGGCATAACTTGAAAGAGAACGTGGATACTGCGCTATTCATGCTGCATGCTACGGAGGAGATTATGACACTGTGAAATATCTATTAGAAACAGCAAATGTTAATCCTAACCCAGAATAATACGAAAGAGTACCTCTATTTATTGCCATTACTATAAATGTATGGAAAATTACCACTCTTATACTATTTTAGAGGCAATTAATAGATCTCCTACTTAAAAATGGAGCAGCCTATGAAACTGCTTACAAATATGATGATAAAAAAACTGGTTCAAGTATAGAGAAGTATGTTAGATACAATGATCATCTGGTAAAAAATAATCTTTAATGTTTTTAATATTAGAGGAAAATCAATGATAAATTTGTACTTAATCTTTCAAGGGCAGATGATCAATCGAAATAATGCCTTAATCAAATTAATATTTTTAAATTGTAAGGTATTAAAGCAGCTTAGGAAAAAGGTAAGTTTGTTGGTATTTAAAAAGAGGACTTTGAAGCAATCCTTAAGTATATGTGAGTTTAAATGATTAATCATAAAATCAATTCAAATTATAAATTCATAAATCATCATAAATCAAATCTTGAAAAGACTTTTATTTGTTTCAATACTCTTTCAAAAGAATTTTCTTGTATTTTTGCTCATCGATGGTGTAAGAGGCTTAGTTTGAGGATTAAATGTATTTTGCTTTTAAATCTTGTGCTAATTTTTAAGAATTAATGAGGCTTTGATGTTAGTATAGACTTTAAGAAATTCCTCGATCTCAAAACACTCATAATTCTCGTTTCGCTTTAGCATGTTTCCTGAATCACCCGGTATAAAGTATAAAATATTTAGTTTGCCATCCTTCGTTTCTTAAACTTCATCAATATTGTCAAAATTTACAGAAATCTCAGAAGTCTTACTATCGATAATCAGGTAAAAATCATCAGTTTTATCCTCAACAAATTCGAAAGATACTGTTTTTTTATTTAGCCTTCCTAATTTGACAGCAGCGAATTTCTTTCCGATTCCTGACCCAACTTGTTGTTCCAAAATTTAATTTTTCATCATTGATAGTTTCTATGCTAATTCTCCACTTTCTCTCTCGTGTTTCATAAGACTGTTTGACATTGAATCTATTACCTCTTTTCTCAATTTGATTTCATCTTCACCTCTTTGTAGTTCCTTTTCTAGCGTAGCTATTTTCTCGTTTAGACTATCTATGAATTCCCCTGTCCTAAGATTTTTATCTAATTCTAAGTTTAGTTATGCTAATGTTTGCTAATTATCCTCTTAGATTGCTGTAATTTTTTTCTCAAACTCTTAGTTCAGCTTTTTGATTTCAGCATCTTTCTCTTGGAACTTGAAATTCCATTCTTTTTCTTTAACTTTTAGCTCTTATTCGAAATGGTTTCTTTCCTCGTTGATCTCCTGCAATCTCTGCTCAAACAACTATTGCAGATTATGTATCTCAATCTTTGACTGCTCTATTTAGTAGTTTTATTACTTAAATAGCTCATCATTTTTTAGAAGCTGTTCTTCGTAACCTTTACATTTCTACTGTAATAATTCCATTGCTTCTGATTATTATAGATTGACAATGTCGCTTGATGCAGATGAAGAGGTTTCAGATTTACCTTTTTAAGAGTTGTTACCAACAAAAAGTGGTGGTTTAGCTAAAGGCTGTTTCTTAACTGTAGAAGTCGTACCTTTTGTCTCTCTGAGAAGAGCTTCTTAAAGATTTGCATTTTCTTGATAAAGTTACAAGAATTTATTTTCCTATTGAATGAAGATTATATTTTTGTAAAAGTAAACTTACCTTCTCTGAAATCACATTCTTTAGTTGTTCCATACTTTTGATGACCGCTTCAAGCTGACTCTCTACATTTTTTCTTTCCTCTCTTTCAGATTTTAGTGCATTTTTAAGCACCTTTAGTTTTTTCTGTGCTATTGCTAATTTATTTTGAGGAGGAGAGCTCTCTGAAGTATCGTCTTTAGTTGTTGATGACATTATTAATTATATTTCAGAATAGAATAATATAGATATATTTTAAATATCTCTTATTTTCTAATATGTACTCGTATAAAATAAGTTAGTACTCTATTAATTAATTTCTTGTGATTTTAAAGTTCAATCATCAAATGGGGTTTTGGGGTTTTGGGGTTTTGGGGTTTTGGGG